GCCCCCCCCCCCCCCCCCCCCCAAAAGAACCCAATGCTTTTACAATAATGTGTGTGTTTTCTTATTACAGAGTATCCAGCCTTGCGTCGATTACACCCTCAAACTCAACAACGATTACTGTGACTTGAAATGGAATAGAGCATGTTCCTAAAAAATAAAAATGGCTAATTTTTAGAGAGTGTGGGAAGGGATTGAACCTAATAACTCTAGGTTACGAGAGGTCAAGTTCAACTACTAAACCATGTTTGATTAGGATATAACAAGAGATGGAATTGGATAATTTATTTCAATCCAATTCATAATGTTGGTAATGACTCATCTACTACTTTATCCTATACATAATTATTATTTGTATAATACTCAATTTTGAGTTTTTTCAATAAAAAATTTGTACTCAATTTTCTTAAGATGGAGTATATTGCTATCTTTTTATTAAGGGTGTGATATGAAAATTTCAATCTTTTAGGATGTAAAAATGAAGAATACAAAGACCTTTTTGGTTCAAAGTGTCATTTACCCAAAAATTTAATTTGAGTACAGGCATTCTGCGAAAACATCGCGCGCTTCTCACGTGAAAATTTGAATTCAGACAGCGCCATATCACACACGCACACACACTGTCAATACATACATTGTACAAACACCACCAAAAACCCTAGAATCGAAATGCTCCATCTTTCTATACTAAAATTCAAACGTTAATCACTCACTCCAACTCCAACTCCAACAACAACACAATCAACCGAAACATCAATCACTCCGAAACTGAAAAAATGGCTTCAATCAAGGCATCATCTTCCAGGTACACCTCCTTCGACTCTCGATCTTCCACCCATTCTCATAAATCAGATCCATCCTCATCCACCGAGCTCAAACCCTACATCCAATCTCGTGGCCCCACTTCCTCCTCACGTGCTCTCATCAACGCCAAATCCTCAGACCTAGCTCAATCAAAGAGATGCAAGAACGATCAGAATTTATCTGCAATGGTGAAGAAGTTCATGGAAAAGAGGTCAACGACGAAGTCAAGGGCGACGGCGACCAATTTGATTATTCCGGCGGATTTTATAGCGGAGGATTTGAAGAAAACGGCGAGGAAGGGCACCAATTTCACGGGGTTGCATCGGAAGCTGTTCAGTAAGAATTCGGGATCTAAAAATGATGAGAGTGAGAAAAAGGCTTTGACGGAAGTGAAGGCGAATACGAGGACTTTGGCAATGGTGTTGAGAAGTGAGAGGGAGCTTTTGAGTTTGAATAAGGAGCAGGAAGAAGAGATTGCCGAGCTCAAGTTGATGCTTGAGGGAAAAAACACAGAGGTATTACATATATATTTGTTAAATGTGCTAATTTGATGAAATTGGTTTGGTCAATTATCAAAGATTTGAGTTGTTATTAGCTTCTTAAGGCGATTAGATGGTGGCTTAAGCGGCCTTACAATTTGTTTGATTGCGTACATATGCACATGTTGAAAAATGAAACTTAGTTCAGGCCTAAATGGATTTCTATACCTGTGATTTGATTGTATTGACTATTTCTTTTTTCTTTTTTGGGGGTTTAAAGTGAAACCTTTGAAGACAGATTTGAATGTATTGGCAATTTGTTGAAAAATTGTTCTTTGGAGTTGCTTAGAAACTTTTTGATGGAAAGAATGACAAATGTTTGTATTTATTGGATGGTATGCCTTTTCTTTTAAGTGGAGTAACAAGAAAGTGTATGTTATAAACTATCATTTTTTGTTCAAACCACAAGTTTGAGCCATTTTGTAATTTTTAGAAAAAAGAGGACGCTCCAAAATTTATGGTATTATTTGTTTAATTCGAATATTTTGAACTGTTACCAATATGAGCTCTTTGAAATTCATGAATGGAAAAAGCTGTGCAGTGGTTCTCAAATTGTGCTTATGCAGTTAAACTACATATATATACATTTACAGGTGCACATCCGCATATTTATGAATACAGGTGTACATAGCATATATGATGGATTTGTTTGATGTTTTTGATTTGATTGAAGAATGAGGGCTTTTTTGCTGCTGGATTGTGCAGGTTGAGAAGTTGAAGGATTTATGTTTGAAGCAAAGGGAAGAGATAAAGGCATTGAAGAGTGCCATACTATTCCCAGATGTTATGAACTCACAACTTCAGGAGCTTTTGGAGAAGCAAGGTTCAGAACTAAAGCAGGCCAAGCAACTCATCCCGAATCTCCAGAAGCAGGTCACTTCTCTTACCGGCCAACTTCAGTGCCTAGCTGAGGATCTTGAAGAGGTAGCACTTCACATTTTCTTTCATATTATAATTTAACTGGTATGTGAAATTGAACTGTTCTGATGGTGGATTCATCAATTTAGCTATCATGTGACTGAGATATGTATTCATCCACAGTACACTAATTAGCAAAATATTGTGAAAGACTAGCACAATTAAATGCATTGGACTTTAACAAACTCCGGTACCTATGTAACAGTTTATGGAATAAGCATTTATCTTTCCTTAGGTTCCATAACTGTCAGAGATATATGGTAATTACTAGCCATAAAATAGGGGAAAAAAGGATGAATAGCTTAAGTAGTATAGCTGGTTATAGGAATCTCGAACACCTTTTCAGAGCTTCAGCTTACTGTTACTTTGGTTTGAGAATGACTTTGAATATCTTATCATTCTTGAGCAGATATGCATGTAATTGTGAATATCTTTGGTATCTATGCTTATTAAAGTAGATTTATATGAACTCTTGTTTGTAATAATTAGAAAATCTGTCTTCAAACAATTTTGTGGCATAAAAAATGCCTGGACAAAAATGGGTTATTGCTGTTACATTTATGCGTTGAAGATTGTTTCTTTATACTTTGTTTTATGCTGGAAAGTGGGCACAACAAATGCCCAACAAAGCAGAAAAAATGCCTGGCCAAAAATGAGTTATTGTTGTTACCATAGTTGTCAAATCGTGTATCGGAAGACGTATTTTAAAAATAGTGTATTGTATATCGTGTAATGTAAGATACGCGCAATTTTAATTTTTAATTAATTATTAATGATTTTTATTAAAATATATGTATGTACCTTTATAAAAAAATCATAGACTCATAAATTGATAATAATATAGTATTTCATTAATATTTTATCAATTATTCAAGTTCCCAACATAATTCAGTAATATCAAAATGCAAATGCCTCTAATTCAAACTTCTAATATCAACTGTTTGAACAACCTTAATATTAATAAAAAATTTTGAATTCAATAGAACACTATTAACAATAGACTTTATTTATTTTTTTTAAACCATAATCACTGAAACGATGTTGTTTCACTAACTAGTGATGTCATTTCAATCCCAAAAAACCAAAAAATAAAAAATAAAAAACAAAATTGTTACGTATCGGGTGTATCGGGCGTATCGTACGTATTTTATCGTGTATCGTATGATACAATGTAAAAATAATACAAAGATACGATATCTATCATTTTTCAAGTGTATTGTAACGTATCGTGTGATATGTATTGCGTATCGTACGATACTAATAAGGATGACTGTTACCTTTATGTGTTGAACTTTGTTTTCTTATACTTTGTTTTATGCTGGAAAGTGGGTGCAACAAACGCCCTATAAAACGCAAGCTCAAATACTATGTTGTTCTGAGGATTTCTTTACACGTATTTTTCATGAATTGAGGCAATATCGTTCGGATATTGGAATAAAATGGATGCAGGACAATCTATTTAGAACCAAAGAGTTTTAGGAATAACATTTACAATCACTGTACTTTCTCAATTTCCAAAGCTAACACTGACTATATACATTAACTGGGAGTCTTATTGTAAGTTATTAAGGAAAACAATATTCATTATAATGGAGACTTTAACTGGATGCTGGATGGAAGGACAATTTTTATCTTTTTCTTTTACACAAGTTGTATTACTTGGTGGTGGGCATACAATGAAGGCCACCATGTTTTAATTTTAATCCGAGTTTTTATTTTATTTTGGCTAATGGAAGTATACTGTTTCGGTTATGTGCATTTAGAGTTGCACAGGCTTTAAATTCATTTGCCTCTGAATAGCTGGAAAAATATTTTCTTGAACAGGTGAAAGCAGATAAATATTCAATGAGGGGGTGCTATGATGGCCATGTCAGCTCTCCACGGACACCAGTATTTGATCAAGAAGAGGCAGCTAATTCTCTGGTAAACACATCATATTAAAATGGAAAACTTTTTACTGGTAAATTACTTGCTGTCACCTTACAGAGTTTCATATAAATAATTCAAGTGTTTGCGTCATAGCAGTAAATAGACTTTCCAAGGTACACCAAGATGGAAAAATATTGGGGACACGTCTATGCATGTTTATGACTTGCAAATGAAGAAATAACAATATTAATCTTCTTTGAAAATCAAACCCAGTACCTCTCTAAATAACAGCATTTGTTTGATTATCATTTTTATAGTTTTCTTCCTAAATAGTCATTGAAACAATATATTATGACTTTTTAAATATGTTAAGAAATGTATTCCTCATGGGGTTATGATTGCTGGTGTCTTTGATTTTCTTATGATACGTCCAACATCTTATTCAGGAGTTCAGCTCCTGGGATCATACAACCCCTGGCAGTCCAGATGACATGTTTCTCAAGGATCTTAATCCCTGTTTGACACCATACTATGCCAAGGCAAAGTCCAAGGTAAGTCTACATACTCCCTTTCAAGAAATATGAGATAGTTGCTTTACTTCACCATAACAGATCTCTGATTCCCTGCCCCTTTTCACTCCAGTTCTATAATGTAATATTACCTACCTAAAGAGTCAATGTCTTGCAGGAATTTGAAGCAATGGGCTATAATTCTCCATGCCACAAGATTGGTGTTGACAGCTTTGTGAGGAAGCCGTCGAAAAGTTCAGACTATTGGTAATGGTCCAACTCTTCAGGTAGCACTTCAGCCCAAGCAGCTCGCAGATCCGATGAAAGCACTTGCACATATGGAAAGCAGATGCACCAGACTTGTCTGAAATATTCACAGCTTAAAGTTCCTTTGGATTTGAGCTTTTTTTTTCAATTGGTTACTTTGTCCTTCCAAATCCCTATTTTGAACTTCAATTCTGGTCAGTAGTCCGTTTGTTATTATATGTTATAAGATGCACTGACCGAAATGTTCATTTTTATCTCATTAAAAGAGGTTATTGCTATTTAACTTTAAGAGTCATAATATTTGGTGCAAGTGGTACATGGGCCATTATATTAAACAAAAAAGTAAAAAAATGATTGTCATGCATCTGATGTTACTAGTGCTGTGGACATGACCCGCAATAATGGCCGATCATTTTCAGTAAAGAAGTTGAAATTACAGCAGGGATTGCCTACTGCTGTTCGTTTCTGGCATTGATGTGTCAGATAATTTGGATTAGGAGGAAATCAAGCTGTGCTATCCTTTTTTCTGTACTGGCTTGGCTTTCTAGTGTCCTTGTTTGTGTTGTATATTGCTCATTTCCCCTGAAATGAAGCTGTTGGGTTGGTCTTAATGAAACAAGAATGATTGCATATCCATTTAAGCTTAATATGCAAGTAATGACTGCTTGAACTTTCAATGGTGTATGATTTTGATGTTGAAACTTCATAAGTAGACTCCCACAAGGCTTTGGCATAATGCTTGGCAGCAACAGGTGGGTTGTTTTACATTACAGCGATTCATTTTGATACATATTTCATAGCAGAACTTTTTTTTTTTTGGGAAGTACATACAGATCTCACTAGCCAGTTGATGGTGCAGATCTTTTCTGTTACAATCTATGATGGAGAACCCGAGGTTCAACCGAGAACTAGCATCAGGTATTATACAAAACAAACAGGGAGGCATGTTTCAATTTTTCTACACCGTTCTTGGTTAACTTACAAGGGAAAAACTTTCACAATAACACTATTCATGTGGCTAGCATATTAACCCCAGTTTGCTAGTCATTGCTAAGCTTGTGATCTAACAATGATGTTTCGTTCTGAAATCATCAGAAAATCAAATTGCTGTGCTGGTTCAGATGCACCAACAGAGGGATTGAACTAGACACAAGCTGTAGTAGATAAACTCCACAACCTCAAATTTCTTTTATTGTACAAAAAAGTTAAGAACCAGCTTTGTTTTCATATATTGTCCACCAAGTTAAACACATCCTCATGCTTAAGAGACTTTGAAGATGGGTGCTTCAGTTGAACTTGGTAGTGACCTAATCTCCCGTCTTGCACTTTTCTTACCTTTAGTGTTCCCATACAAGCGGAAGAGACTAAAAGCTGATACACCAGAAAGGACCCCCATGCTAAGGCTAACAATTAGTGCACTTGCTATTCCCTCCCCTACTTGGTTACAAAACTTTGCATACATATTGCAAACCTTCATCCACTGCAGCTCTGGCTCCCCTAACTTGGCGAACACAGAAGACTGTGCAGCGGCTGCCACGGCGGCCAATGTCAAGTATGCCATCAACTGCACAAAAATGAGTTCACCATACATGCATTAGACCACTGAGAAGATAACATAAGCCCACTGTTGCAATGCTGTATCTACACCTGACGAATAATGTTTCTGGATATTTACTTACAAGAATAGTTATTGTACTAATGTCATTCACGTAAGCAAAAAGATGGATGCCCAAGTCCGAGAATCTAGTTCTCTAAAATGAGGGTAAGGCTATCTACCGTTTGTCTCTGCCATGTACGATCACACAAGATCCTCTCAATATGTTCTAAACTATAATATGAGTTGCCTAGCATCTTGCCTCATTAGCATACCAAGCCAAGAGTTGAACTTCCTACATATTAGATGGTTTTTGTGGACCATGCATTTATTAATCAAGTGNCTTTTCTGTTACAATCTATGATGGAGAACCCGAGGTTCAACCGAGAACTAGCATCAGGTATTATACAAAACAAACAGGGAGGCATGTTTCAATTTTTCTACACCGTTCTTGGTTAACTTACAAGGGAAAAACTTTCACAATAACACTATTCATGTGGCTAGCATATTAACCCCAGTTTGCTAGTCATTGCTAAGCTTGTGATCTAACAATGATGTTTCGTTCTGAAATCATCAGAAAATCAAATTGCTGTGCTGGTTCAGATGCACCAACAGAGGGATTGAACTAGACACAAGCTGTAGTAGATAAACTCCACAACCTCAAATTTCTTTTATTGTACAAAAAAGTTAAGAACCAGCTTTGTTTTCATATATTGTCCACCAAGTTAAACACATCCTCATGCTTAAGAGACTTTGAAGATGGGTGCTTCAGTTGAACTTGGTAGTGACCTAATCTCCCGTCTTGCACTTTTCTTACCTTTAGTGTTCCCATACAAGCGGAAGAGACTAAAAGCTGATACACCAGAAAGGACCCCCATGCTAAGGCTAACAATTAGTGCACTTGCTATTCCCTCCCCTACTTGGTTACAAAACTTTGCATACATATTGCAAACCTTCATCCACTGCAGCTCTGGCTCCCCTAACTTGGCGAACACAGAAGACTGTGCAGCGGCTGCCACGGCGGCCAATGTCAAGTATGCCATCAACTGCACAAAAATGAGTTCACCATACATGCATTAGACCACTGAGAAGATAACATAAGCCCACTGTTGCAATGCTGTATCTACACCTGACGAATAATGTTTCTGGATATTTACTTACAAGAATAGTTATTGTACTAATGTCATTCACGTAAGCAAAAAGATGGATGCCCAAGTCCGAGAATCTAGTTCTCTAAAATGAGGGTAAGGCTATCTACCGTTTGTCTCTGCCATGTACGATCACACAAGATCCTCTCAATATGTTCTAAACTATAATATGAGTTGCCTAGCATCTTGCCTCATTAGCATACCAAGCCAAGAGTTGAACTTCCTACATATTAGATGGTTTTTGTGGACCATGCATTTATTAATCAAGTGGTTTCTGTCGGAAATAGATTCCCTCCTATATATTTTTTCTCCATTTTCCTTTTTTAGTAGATCACTATCATAAATTCAAGGGAGAACTATGGTATATAAGTATGTCTTTACTGGTACAATTGACAACTACTGTATATAAATAGGTCCTTCACCAATGTATGGTAGGTGCCAGAATTTATTTTGCGAATTATCTTCACAAAAATCTACCAGCTTGAGATTCTCGTGAGTACAAGGTCTCGGTGGTTGCAAAGTTTTAAATGGCAAGCACAAGGGTTAGGTTAGAAAAGTAATTGGGATGGATGTGGGTAATAAATGCATTCAAACTAATGAATCCGTGCATGTTCAGAACCGAATAGAAAGCATGCCAAGATGGTTTCTTTCGAGGCCTAGTAGGCTTAGGATAAGTCATTAGTGTTTCAAGGACTGCAACGCAACCATAATACTAATGGCACCTAGTATTATGTGTCAGCTCAATTATGCATTTATTGATATGTATGATGAGAAGACAGACACGAAGATGGCTCATTGTCGTGACTCATGCGCTTATCCTCCGGTTGGTAGGAGGATGAAAATTAGGAATGATGAAAAGTAAAAGAGATATATTTTCTATCTTTCAAGGATGGAAAGTAGGACGGATATACTTTTCTTCTTTTGTGTTTGGTTCAATGCATGAAAAATAAAAATAATTATTTTTTTATTTTTTTTCTGTGATGGCTAAAATTAGGGGTGACAATCGAGTCGTGTCGTGTTAGATTCATGTTGAATCATTACGGATTTGTGTCAAATATTAGTCAAATCTAACTTTAACTCATTTAACTAATTGTGTCGTGTCGTGTTGCGAGTTGACTTGTTTATTTTTGTATCGAGTTCGAGTCGTGTTATCTTGTTGAGTCAAAAATTTTCACCCTCAGTTAAGATGAAAAAATTTTTTATTTTTAATTTATTTTTGTTTTTTATTTTTATTTTTTAATTTATTTTTATTTTATCATTATGTTTTTATATGAAATTAATGTATACATAATATATATGTATATATAAAAATATATAAAAATATATATAGACAAATAAGATCAATCTCACTACAAATAATTAACTTTTCATCTATTTTTTTTTCGATTATGGAAGGATTGATTTTAATGAATTGAAAGAAAAATTAATCCATCTACTTTTCTATCCTTCCTACTTTCCTTTCTTATCAAACATGATGTTTTATTTATCCTTTCAATTTTTTATCCTTCCAATTTTTCATCATCCTATTTTTTCATCGTAGCAAACGAAACATTAGTAATCGTAAGATCTTTCAAAAGTGGAACATGGTGTTAGAGTAGCGTTCAATTGATTCAATAGCAACGAATCTCGAAAAGAACGTTGACATGATTCAATAGCAATGAATCTCGAAATGAGTATTGACATAACAAATTCTGAAACAGAGATAAGGATCAGATGATCAACTATTGCATCTCCAATACAATTTCCCACAACTGGTACACATGCATTGAGCTTCCAAGATGGATAAGTAAAGAATCTAATTTACTCTTTAGGCACATTATAGCATTTTAACCACCTCTGAACTAGATTACTAGATTTTCTCAAAGAACTGTCATTTATGTTTTTCTTGATAGAACAATGTCATGATAAAAGGAGTTCAGAAAATGGGTTTATCTGGTGAAAAAGAAAGGGGCAAATGGAGACAAGTAAGCTATGCTGACCAAATTTAGAATTCAAATGACATGACAACATATTATTTAAAATTTTTATTGGGACCCAAATGACATAGTACCAAATAAAAAAGTTTATGTCAGCTACTATGTCATTTGAGCTGTAAATTTGGTCAATGTAACATTACTAAATGGAGACCTAATTGCTTGGGTCTTTGGTTTTGAAAGTTTTTCCCAATTCCATACCACCCTCTCACTCTCTCTCTATCCCCCCCCCCCCCCAAAAAAAAAAAAAAAAAAAATAAATTTTTTTTTTTAAAAA